CAATACACATGATATTTTTCGTTTCATTAGGTTAACCCCAAAGGGCCGGCTCCAAGGGTAGAATTGTCCGATGTCGAGTTATTCGATATGGATTCCTGAATTTTTTTCTACCATAAGAAATGACCGGCCAAGGAAATCGATTGATGGAAATTGTAGAGGGGTACATGTTCAATACACAGGATTATTTTCGTTTTATTAGGTCAACCCCAAAAGGCCAGCTCCAAGGGTAGAATTTTTCGATGTCGAGCTATTCGATATTGAATCCTGAATTTTTTTCTACCATGAGAAATGACCGGCCAAGAGAATCGATTGATGCGAATCGTAAAGGGGTACATGTTCAATACACATGATTTTTTTCGTTTCATTAGGTCAACCCCAAAGAGCCGGCTCCAAGGGTAGAATTGTCCGATGTCGAGCTATTCGATATGGATTCCTGAATTTTTTTCTACCATAAGAAATGACCGGCCAAGAAAATCGATTGATGGAAATCTTAGAGGGGTACATGTTCGATACACAGAATTATTTTCGTTTCATTTGGTCAACCCCAAAAGGCTGGCTCCAAGGGTAGAATTGTTCGATGTCGAGCTATTCGATATATGGATTCCTGAATTTTTTCCTACCATAAAAAATGGCCGGCTAAGGAAATAGATTGATGGAAATCTTAGAGGGTACATGTTCAAAACACAGAATTATTTTCGTTTCAGGCACTTACCCCTACTCCAATACAAAAATTCACAGGTACACAATTTTTGTTCTCTATTTTTCCTTCATTGATTGGGCTATAATTCTACTAGAGATTGACATCGAACATTCCTTTCCATTGAAAAAAAAAATATTTGCCTAGCCCGATTATTTGTTATTGTGGAAAAGAAATCAGGAAATCTCATCAAATAATTTGATAGCGAGCACTTTTAGGTACCTACCCTTGGAGCTGACCCTTTGGGGTTGACATAATGAAATGAAAAAAATCCTCTGTATGGAACATGTACCTACCCCTCTTTTTCATCGATCGATTTTCTTGGCCCGTCATTTTTTATAGTGATAAAAACTGCAGGAATTCATATCGAATAGCTTGTGACATCGAACAATTCTACTCTTGGAGCTGGCCCTTTGGGGTTGACCTAAGGAAACGAGAAAAATCCTGTGTATTGAACATGTACCCCTTCATGATTTCCATCAATCGATTTTCTTGGTCGGCAGTGACGGCTCGTGCCCTCAGAACCTGGGTCGGCCAGGGTATAGATATTGCTCTAAAATGCGAACGTAAGTGGGTCAGTGGCTTGAGTGAAGTTCGATGGCAAATAAGCATGTACAGGGTGATTCACCATAATTGTCCTTTCTCCCTCTAGCTCACTTATTTTTGACCCGATTTAAAAATTTGAAGGATGATCTAAAATGATTTCTCAGAATTTGTTTTCCCGTTGCATCAGGAAATACAGGGTGCTCGGAACAAATGATCTACAGGGTACTACTCGATTTTTCCAAATCGAACACCCTGTATTTCATTGTATTTTTAGATTCTTCCTGAAGAGCTGATTTCATCAATGCATCACACTTGGGGTCTAGCGGGAATGATAACAGAGATATAGGGTGTTCCAAATCGAGATTTTTCAAGTTTAGGATTTTTTCGTCTCGAAACTATTCATTATTGAAACGGCTCCTATGTTTCCATCTTCATTTTTGATTAACTGTCTATTGAGATTTGATTGGAACATTTACAGGGTGGTTCAAGATTCAGAATTCTGATCACCCTGTATCTGTTCCAATTATTAAATGTCAGTAGATAGTAAATCAAAAGTTGAGATATGGACATGAAAGCCGTTTTGACCGATGATGAATAGTTTCGTCTCAAAAAAATTCTAAAGTTGAAAAATCTCGATTTTGAACACCCTATATCTCTGTAATCATTCCCGATAGACCCCAAGTGTGATACATTGAGCAAATCAGCTTTTCAGGGAGAATCTAAAAATACAATGAAAAATAGGGTGTTCCATATAAAAAAATCAAATGGTACCCTGTAGATCGTTTGTTCTGAGCACCCTGTATTTTCTGATGTAGCGGAAAAAAACTCAATCAAAAATCATTCAAGATGATATTTCAAATTTTGAAATCGGTTTAAAAATAATTGAGCTAGAGGGGGGGACATTTATGGTGAATCACCCTGTACACATAACCAAAAAATTAAATTGTCCAGCAAGAACCACAAGGTTAGAGCATTCTCGCCAGGGGAAATGGGGAAAGAAAAAGGAGGTGGATAAGGGTTAGTTGGTATGAAAAAATAATAACAAGAAAGTCGAAAAAATAAAATGAAAGAAAATAAAAATAAAATAACTCGTGAACAAAAAATATTTATATTCTGTTGAAAACGTAATGTAAACTCAAAAAAATCAACATAACCGACAACCACTCACCTAACGCGAGAAGCACAACAATGAGTAATCGCCAATCGGTCTACGCCGTTCCTGTAACAAGCCACCCCACTGACCCCACTCCTTCGTAGTCGGCTGGCCGAGCCCGCGTGCAGGGTGCAGCCGTAGGTATAATGTTTCCCGCGATGCGATGGATGCATAAATATTATTTAGGTAGTTTATAACCGCTACATGCGTCTTTGAAAATAAATGATATTCTGGAAGTTATACATTTATTACATTTTCGTCACCAGAGCTTTTTTACGATGTTTCAATACCTACTCAGCTCTTGGACTGCTGACATTTTTCTTGCCATATTACCTACATAGGCAGAGGCACAGTAGGTTACATTACAGCAATATTCAAATTGAATTATAACTTATTGACGCTCAGAAGCACTGAAGGAAAATTCTGATACCAATATTAGATGGATATGTTGAATTATGAATTACTGAAAAATTGCAAATTCAAAAATCACCAGTCATTTTTACTGCAACTACTGCAAGCGTAATCAAAAACATGGAAATTATTTTTCTTTTCAGTTTGTACATTTCAAATTCCAACATCAACTTACAAATAAGTATAGGAATTAAAATTATAAATACCTACAATGTAAAATGAAAATAGAATGTCAATCATGCCAATCCGTATATTAAAAATTAGGTCGGAATGGTTCGATACGGTGCACAGCGAGCGCACTGCAAACAACTGATACTGATAAGTACGATCGATACGTTGGACGGCCAGCAGAGCTTGGCCGCACCGAAGGTATGACGCGTATAAGCGAAAATTTAAACTTGAAGCGGGGAATCTGTAGGCGATGCCTGTGGCGATGCGTCGAGACAAGAAATCACCGATCGGCCGGCCGTCTGCATCAGTGTAATGAGCTACGCGAGCGGTTCAACTGAAAGCGGCGTTTTGACGATGGGATTACCAGATGTCGTAGGTCCTGAATTAGTTCGTGATTTTCGGTGTATATGCGGATGGCATACTCAAAGGTTCCATGAATGAAATTCAAATAATAGTGGCATAACAGTAGGATAATGAGCGATGAATTATGAAAACAGTTTCGGAAAATAATTTTATTCATCAAATAGTTCAGTAATTTTCCCCAAATTATTTGGTACGGCCCGGCCGACCCTGCCGTCCCTGACGAGCCGTCACTGTTGGTCGGTCATTTCTTATGGTGGAAAAAAATTCAGGATTCAATATCGAATAGCTCGACATCGAATAATTCTACCCTAATCCTTTATATTGAACATATATCCCTCTACGATTTCCATCAATCGATTTTTTTGGCCGGTCATTTCTTATAGTAGAAAAAAATTCAGGAATTCATATCGAATTGCTTGACATCGAAAAATTCTACCATTGGGGCTGTCCTTTTGCGGTTGACATGATGAAACAAATAAAATCCTTTGTATTGATCATGTACCCCTCTGAGATTCCTATTGATCGTTTTTCTCGGCTGATAATTTCTTGTGGTGGATGAAGATCTGGAAATTCAATCGAATAATGTGAAATCGTACACTTTTATCGTTCGCACGGCTGGCCCCTCAGAATAACGTGAGCACTGTGTATCTACATCTTTTTCCACTTGGAATAATACACAAAGATTATCAATATTCATCGTATCCGTGGATGTTATCGATTAGTAGAGGAAGTAGTAATGATCGGCGTACGAAACGATCGAAGAGCAATGCGAAAACGAAAATTGACCGGTGGTGGAAAAGTGTCGCTTGGAGCTGGCCGGCCGGGAGCTAACATGACCGAGGTTTTTGGAAATGACATCAACTTTCGATTATCAAATTGTTATTGAGGCGCACCCTGTACTTTTAAATCTGAAACACCCTGTATATATAGAGCCTATAACATTATTATATATATTTCTGAATAATCACTTGTATTTCAGAAAGCGTGTATTGTATTTCAGAATAATCAGTTGTATTTCAGATATAGTCAATTGTATTTCTGAATAGCCGATTCAATTTCAGAAAGCGTCAATTGAATTTCAGAAAGCGTCAATTGAATTTCAGAAAGCGTCAATTGAATTTCAGAAAGTGTCAATTGAATTTCAAATGATATTTTCTGAAATAAAAATGACGGTTTCTGAAATTTAATTCACTATTCTGAAATACAAAAGACGCTTTCTGAAATTGAATTGACTGTTCTGAAATACATTTGATGCTTTCTGAAATACAGGTATATATCTATCCTGAAATACAATTGACGCTTTCTGAAATACAAATGGGAAAGGTGTGGTTGATAAAGACATAGCCATCTCTGTTATTTGATGGAAATCAGGATTATTTTAGAACGCGTGGATTTACTGCGAGATTTACTGTCTTCAATAGAGGCTTACATTATTCATTACAGATTTTCTCGGTTTTCAGTGCATTCGTCGCACTGAGTTGAAAAACAATCATTCCATGAAAATGGGTTAGACTGTTATCCAGAAAAACACTATTTTTCGAAGTTCCTCAGTACCTACTCAAGAGTTCCTATATAGTAGTGAAGATTCGCAGCCACATGATATTTTGTTACATTCAGCTATAATAGTGTACTAATATAAAAGTGTATTAAACTATCTAAATGTCTAACGAACTGCCAACTCCCAAAATGACTGCCATCCGAGCTATTCCCGAGGCGGCCATGGAAAGTTCTGACAGCAGCGACTCTTGCGCCACCACGTCGAACAATAACGAAGCGAATTTGAGCCTGTACAAGCCGAGCTTCAAGTATAACGACTTCGTTAATAAACTCGATTCGTACAACAACAACCAGCTGCTGTTGCCTACTCAATTTTACAAAACCTTGTTAGCCAAAGCGGTGTTCTCGAGCAATAATGACGATAAGAGCAACGTCTACAAGAACATGTTCTTCCCGAAGGACAGGGATTTCGATCAGGTGAGGATTCGTTTTTCTGTGAGCTGCATCACTATACAGGGTGGAGTTTTGAAAACGAAACAGAGGCTCTGTAGGTCGCTGAAACCGGAATATGGAAAAGCTCTGAAGTCTGAAACACGTCACACAGCTCTGCAGCGTTGCCGCTTCTAACGAAAAAAAGCAACAACTTTGTTATTTCAAATGGAACACCTTATATTTCATTGCATTTTTAGATTTTTCCCCGAAGAGCTGATTCCATCAATGCATCACAATTTAAAAATCGTCCTTACAAGTATAACAAAAAAAAATAGTCTTCTGGTTGCTAGATAATAAAATTTCCTAATGTTTAGGTCTGTTAGGTTAGTATTGTATGCATTGCATTGCATTAGATTTCATAATTACATTGTTACTATTTTTTTGACCTCTATTGTAAACTGTTATAATTTTCATTATCATAAGTGTAGTTGATGAAAGTAAAATAGTAAAAATCAGTTTCTAATTATTAAATGTAGCACACGCACATTCTTATAAGAAAATCTTGTGACATACATGTTAATATTGTTGGAAAAAAAAATTGCTATAATAAAAATAATTTATTTTTTTTATCACACTTGTGATCTAGCTGGAACGATTTCAGGGATATAGGGTGTTCAAAATCGAGATTTCTCAACTTTAGCATTTTTTTGTGTCGAAACTATTCCTTATTGGTCAAAATGGCTTATATAACCCTATCTCAATTTTCGATTCACTATCTACTGACATTTATTTGGAACAAATGCAGGGTGGTTCAAGATCCAGAAGTCTGATCACCCTATATCTGTTCCAATTAAATGTCAGTAGATAGTTGATCAAATGTTGAGATAGGGACATGAAAGCCGTTCTGACCAATAATAAATAGTTTCGACACAAAAAAATGCTAAATTTGAAAAATTTCTATTTTGAACACCCTATATCCCTGAAATCATTCCACCTGGACCCCAAGTGTGATGCATTGATGAAATCAGCTCTTCGGGGAGTATCTAAAAATGCAATGGAATACAAGTTGTTGCTTCTTTTCGTTAGAAGCGGCAACGCTGCAGGGCTGAAAATATTTCCGAACTATGTCCCTCTCGAAAATGTAGATGACGTGCTCCAGAGTTTTTTGATAATCCGGTTTTGGTGACCTACAGAGCCTATGTTTCGTTTCCGAAGGGCCACCCTGTATATACCTGGGGACCCAGGGTATTGGACCATTTCGGATTATACAATCCAATACAGCGGACTTCCGGATTTTATCTGGACATGCCAGCAACTTTGTTTTTTCAAATGGAACTCCCTGTATAGTTCTACATATTTAAGTTCAACAGGTTGAAACAAGTGCAATCTTCATGTCGAATGTCAGATTTTCGAAAAAATTTATATTATTCGAACTTAACGGAAATTCATGAACTATGTGTAGTTGTTGATTTTTTAATGTAAACAATTTGTTACTGCACCGAAATACAAAAATGATATGTCATTTTTTTCATTCGCATGTATGTTCTAGAGAGACATGGGCCCCCAATAGAAAAAATGAATTTTTGATCGAAATGAATGAATCGATTCATCGATAAGTGACCCAAAAAATAATTCTCCAGAAAAATTATGTTCCTCTGTTATAATATGTACGATTCACTGTGAAAAGCCTTGACCGCATCTCATCATTTTATCCATGGGGTGAAATGAAAAAACAATTTTTATTGAATTTTTTTCGAAAAAATTACATTTGACATTGCACTTGTTTCAACCTGTCGAATTTGAATATTTAAAAATATAAAGGGTGTCCAGAAAAACTGGTTCCGCCATCTCGTCCGCCATATTGGGCTGTAATGTGGGAAAATCCGAAACAGGGAGTCCTATGTGTGATGGCCATAGCTTAAGAGCATATTCCTTGAACAATTTGAAGTTGAAAGTGCATAATTCACTCGATATAGTTGAGGATGTATGAGCAAGTAAATAACAACTTTGCTCACCAGTACATTGCAAGATGTGATCCAGTTCTATAGCCTCCGAGGTCACCACTATTATCTTCAGGAGCCCACGGAATGTCTAGTGTGTATTCAAATAATCCACAAACAAGAGATGAGGTAATTCAAAATATTATAACTACAGCAGCCAATCAGCCTTCCATAAGATACGACCCGCAGATACTCTTCAGAGAACGTAACTTTCTCAATAACTAGAACAGCAAGAAAGTGTTGTGAAGCAGCGGGGGTAAATTTTGAACAAAACCTTGATTAAATTTGTGTGAGTAATCAACAAATGTTTAATTGATGAAATATTACATAATTTCATCCAATAATCTCTTTGCTTCAACTTTAATATTGCTCATTATTCCTCAACCATAGAGAAATTTTTCAAGGAATATACCCTTGAACTATGGGTACCTACCGGAATCGAATCACAGGACACTCTGTATAACAGCACCAAATTTACGAATGCAGTAGATATCAAAGGATGAAGAAGTTTTTTGTTTGTTTCAAATTAGGTTGGATCTATTTGAAACGTAGTTTATGATCGTTTTCGAACATATTCTCGAATAAGGCATACCTGGCAAGTGCTTCTTTCAACATCATTCAAGACAGTGTTGTGACTTATATATGACTAGCGACTTATCTTTATTTTGAATGAAATCATGAAATATTCAGAAAGTGACACTGATGGGGGTTCTGTTGATGTCGATAAATCTGGTAGGTACCAACACAGTTTTAATATTGATATCTCACTCGCAACTGGAAATTAAGAAACTGTAGGTACTCCTCCATGAATATATGATTTCATGAATTGAACTGAACTGACTGAACTAAACATGCAGCTTGATAAACATTAATAACTCATATTATCAATGTCAATCTCAGATGTCAATAAACTAACCCAAAATTCTTAACTCTACCCCATAGTAGAATAAATCATGAATGAAAATAATATCTATCTTCCTGGGATTGTTCTAATTTTTTGAAGATAAACAAAAAACAACAATACGATGGGCATCAAAATGGAATTAAAAATTTAAATGTTAATTACTGTCTGTGACTCTGTAGGTTAATCGAGGAGGTGAAGCAGTTCTCAAAGTCGAGGTCAAAGCAGTTTGCATTATTAGTTATTCATGTATATTTACGACTTCATTTTTTTCAAACCTGTATATGAATCTGACAGAAAAATGTCTATTTTACCGACTATTCTTAGCACCATAAAGGACATTTATAATACTTGCTCCTAGCTACTGGATATACTGATTCAAAATGCAGCGACGATACAGGTAATAATGCAAATCATCTTAAATAAATTATATGTAATTTGATTAAAACTGTAATAATGGATTTGAAATGCACCGTTACTCTCATCATTATTGAATATGCTAATGCATTCTTATGAATTATTTAATTCGTTTTTCCGCCGATCGTGACAGACTATACTGTTCTCGGTTTCAAAGTCTATTTATTTGTTATGCCTTTTTATTATTTCACCGATATCCAGAGCTATCCTTAATGGAATAATGACTGTTCGGAAAATACTGCATTCCTGTAGAATAGGACCTGAATGATGGATATCTCAATTATTCAAACAGGGACAATTTGGTAGAAAATTCTTTCAAATCAATAAGGTTTATGATGAAATACTCCTCATTATTACTTTAATTTTGTGTTGTCTACGACGTTATATGCAGAAAAATGTTATTATCGACATGAAACTATCATTTGATTTGTCCTAACTACATATATTTTTTGAAATATTATACTCTTATTTTCATTTATAGAAATTAGGAGAGAAAGTCCTGTGGAATCTACACCATTTCCAATTGGTAATTTAGAAAGCGTCAAGTGTAATTCGGACAATATCATTTGTAATTCAGATTAGTTAATTGAAATTCAGATAATATCAAAATATTATTCAGATTAAACAATTGAAATTCAGAAAGAATCAATTGTAATTCAGATTAATCAATTGAAATTCAGATTAATCAATTGAAATTCAGAAAGCGGCAATTGAAATTCAGAAAGTGTCATTTGTGATTCAGAAAGTATCACTTGTAATTCAGAACAGGTCAATTGTAATTCAGACTACGTCATTTGTAATTCAGATTGGTTAAATGAAATCCAGAAAGCGTCAGTTGAAATTTAGATTAGTCAATTCAAATTCAGAAAATATCAATTTTAATTCAGATTGCCAATTGGTTTTCAGAAATAGTCCATTGAAATTCAGAAAGCTTCATTTGTATTTCAGAAATATGGAACAGTGTTACCTTTGATTCTAGAGCCAAGCACAATGAATGTAGGTAATGAATAAAATTGCAATATTTTTTTCAGGAAATTACGTTTTCTAATATAACTTCTTCATTTTTCCTTTTGAAATTGATTTCAATTGACCATCAATGAAAATAATTCTATAATCCTGAAGTCTCTGGTTCTAGGTACATGAATACCTTCATAAATCCATCAGTCTGAATTACAATTGACACATTCTCGATTACAATTGATGATATCCAAATTTCAATTGACGCTTTCAAAATTCCAATTGAAAAATCTGATTTACAGCTAAAGTTTTCTGAATTCCACTTGACTAATCTGAATTGCAATTGATTATTTCTGAATTTCAATTAGTTTATTTGAAGTACAATTGATATTTTCTGAATTTCATTTGAGAAATCTGAATTACAATTTACGAATTCTGAATTATAATTGAAAGAAACTTCAGGCAGGCAACTTCAATATTGAGCGAAAGCATATAACAACCAATGTTTATTATCATCCTGCTTCATTATTTGAAAAATGATCAGATTCTGATTCTGCATTTTCATTTCGTCATGAAACCTCGAAAACACGAATATTGACAGCTACTTAATTTACAGTGATCCCAAAATGGTATCCTGATGTGAAATATCCTTCAGATTCACACATATTTCCCTATACTCTACTTTTTTTTATCGAATTTGCAGCTGCAACAGTGAATTTGAGCAATAATGCAAATGTATAGATTCGTATATAGATATAATAATATATAAGCTCTCAATTGACAGTTGCAGTTGGTCATAATTTACAATTTTCACCACCAAAATCAGCCATAATTTATACCTAAAGTTAGAACTGTTACAATATTCAACATAAATTGCTGAAGAGCGTAATGTAGGACTTTATTGCTCGGGTTTGTTGGCGTAAAGTCTCTTCAAGCGCCCTAAGGCATTGAAGAGAAGCATTTAGGGCGTTAAAGTAGTTGAACGGGCAATATAAAGTAATTTCACTGTTTTTTCAGTGATTTATAGTGGGATACTATTTGATCTGTCTTTGCCAGTAGCAACCATAGTTTGGCTAAATTGTTTCAAGAATATCAATATTAAATTCCATATGGACATAAATAACGGATATATCTGAAACGGTTTAGCATAAAAATGTATGTATTTTTGACGTAACTTGAATGGACCTGTAGGCGAGTTACTAGCACTCGCGCTATTACTCACACACTTCGGTCCATGAAAGCCTCTTTTCCGCCCTTGATACATAAATAACTATAACGTCCTTTCATCTACTTCAACGCCTGCTGGACTAATTTATCGCCTGCTATACCTATATACCCCTCTTTTCACTCTAAGGCACTGGAGTGCCACTTTGCGTTCGCTAATTCAGTAATTCAGGTGATAAAGTGCAACTTCACGCCCTCCCGGTCGTGCATAAGGAATATTTCAACTGATTCATTGCTGTACTTTGAAAATAATTCAATCAATATAGCCATCAACATAACATTATCTTTCTTTTATCACCAAAATATACTTTAACGCGCGCTGGATAACTTTATCTCTCGCTGTACCACTTTTCTCACCCAAGACGCTGAAGTGATACTTTATGTCCGCCTATTCAGGCGATAAAGTGCAACTTCACTGCCACCCAGTAAATTTCAACTGATTAGATGCTGCACCTTGAAAATCGTTCAATCTCCATGATATTTTTTTTTATTTCAGAAAGCACCGTTCGGATGGGACGGCGGCCAAGCGGGTGGCAACCCTTCCGGCCACCAGTCGGGGGGTGTGGGGGGCCAAGGGGCTCAAGGCCTCGTCCATTGGATGAGCGTCATGGCCGAGCACATGGACCCCGCTATGTCACATTACATGTGGAACCAAGAAGTGAGTACATTCTGTATAATATGATGATTGTTTTATATATAGTTACTTTGTATTATGATTATGATGTTGACATAAGAAAAAAAAAATTCTGACTTGAGCAGTCAAAAAAAAGTCTAATGACGACTCTTACATTGATGGTCCTTCGATTATATAAAGTAACCAGCCCTGTGGAAGACTCCGCAGAAGAAATTTTGACTATAAATATGAGCAGAAGACTTGCTGCATAACTACGGCCTAAGAACTTTGGTCAGTCAAGGAACATGAATATACAAGAAAATCAAACAAATTCAAGAGAAGATTTAGAACAAATCACGACAGTTAATGTACAACGTGAACAATCTGAAGAATCAGATTTCAGAAATAATGATAAAAGCACCAGGAATACTGTCATCAATGGTGGTGAAGAAACAAAAATATCGAATGCATCATCTAGTATAAGTACTTTCACGGATAATAGACTGATAGTTTTTGCATGGAATGAATTAAATGAAGATATTGAAATGAATTAAAGAATCTCTGAATAAGTATCCCTTGCTTGATAAAGAGCCTTCAACACTACTCAACCAATATTCACATTACTCTAAATGTAAAAACTTCACAAACGATAAGATTTCCACAAAATTCTCAAACACACGACATGTATCGCTAACACAATAGCTTCGTCAGGTGATATACTGGTACAAAGTACTGTATATCATATGTGTCATTGTACCAGTATATCACCTGACGAAGCTATCGTGTTAGCGAAACATGTCGTGTGTTTGAGAATTTTGTGGAAATCTTATCGTTTGTTAAGTTTTTACATTTGCCATGGGTTTCCATCAAGTAACTGCCGAGTCAATTCAAAACACATTACTTCAACCTCATTCAGATATTTTTTGATTTATTCATATTTATTTGAATTTTCTTTATTTTCGCTTCCTCGTTATCAAAATACCTCTCATCTCTCTAGACTCTCTGGGATTTCCCCTCCTAGTTTCTAAAAATAGAAAATGGAAGAAAACAAAAATGTTATTCATATAAAAATGGGAGAGAAATCTGTTACTAATACTATAATAACCTACTATTTACATATAGGTTCAATTTAATCAGATTTTTATTCAAAGAAACGAGGGGGATTAAAAAATCTGAAAAAATGAACCTTCACCTGCTTAGTTAACCTTCAGAGAGGATTCAAATACTTTTCACTTTCTCTTCCAATTTTATTGTCACCTATAATTTTTTACAATAACAACATAATATGTGATATGATCTTGTCACTCTGGAAAAATTCTAATTCCCAATTTAAAGCATTTGCCCTTCAATAAAAAAAATCCTTGACTCCCCTATAGTATACACTGAAATGACGCCCCTGCTGCCATTTTGGTATATCATTTGCTTACGTTTCACATCGATATGGATTGAAGTTGAGATCAATACGAATCGATTTGGTCCAGTCAATTGAGGTCTAACGTTGCTGCGTTTTTGTGTCACAATGCTTTGAGTTTCTTCAAAAAAAGGGGGGTATATGACTTCGTGAGACCAAGACCAAGACTGATCAGTCTTGGTCTTGGTCTCGAAAAATTAAAGTAGGTTTGGTCTTGGTATTGGTCTTGGATCAAAATGCGTCAGCAATTCAGAAATAATTTGAGCAAAATATTGCATTTCACATAAAAAACAAAAAAGGCAACGGCACGCGGTGTTCCCAAGCGGTCACCCATCCAAGTACTAACCGCGCCCGACGTTGCTTGACTTCCACGATCAGACGAGTGTGGGTATATTTCAACGTGGTATGGTCGTTGCCTGAAAATTCTTGGTGAACAGGTAGGTATTTAAAGGTTAGTTTCAGAACTGATGAATTAACTAACACCTATGGTATCCCGAGAAATTTACTACCTATTCTACAGAGTCCGGAAGAATATAATGAAGCTTAAAATGTCTGTTATAAGGTGATATTTCATGGATCGCATCTCGGATCGGATCAGTCGGATCGCCCCAGAATTGCAACCAACTTGAATGGCTGAAACATTTCTATTCTATATTTTTATGAATTCTCTTGGGAGAGAGCCTTGGTCTTGGTCTCGAATGTCCAGTCTTGGTTTTGGGAAGATTCATTTAGTCTTGGTCTTGGTCTTGGTCTCGGCCTCGGTCTCGGCCTCGGTCTCGGTCTCGGTCTCGGTCTCGGTCTCGGTCTCGGTCTCGGTCTCGGTCTCGGTCTCGGTCTCGGTCTCGGTCTCGGTCTCGGTCTCGATCTCGGTCTCGGTCTTGGTCTTGGTCTTGGTCTCGCGAAGCCCTAGAGGGGTACTCGAGGGGGTAATAAATCATTTGTATTTGACTGCCTTTCGAGCTGGTGGTCACAGTCATCCCAAAAACGATGAAAACCGAAGAAGCGGACATCCACGGCTCTGCATTATGACGGTACGGAGTTGTGAAAATGTTGAAAAAAAGCACTACTATAAGACCTCGACTAAGACATTTCCGCATGGTTCTAATTATGCACATTCGATTCATTACGACTCCTTACATAAAAAAAAAACATTTGGCAGACACTTTGCTCACTATTTTTCAACAGCACAATTTTTTGAAATTCATGAAATCAAAAGGGGACTTATTCATTTGCACATATCTGCCTTTGCAGCTGATGGTCACAATCATCCTGAAAACGATGAAAATCGAAGAGGTAGACAACCAGGGCTCTGCATTATCACAGCAACCTTATCTTGGTCATACTCTATATTCAAATTATCTGCCTTTGGAATATTAGCAGCCTGGATGTCTGCCTCATCGATTTCCTTGGTTTTTATAAGGAATCCAAACATCAGGCCAAGAGGCAAACATGGGCGCACAAATTACATTTTTGGGGTGCTGTCAATCGACAACGCAGAGGCACCATGCTGGCAGACCATTTTTCTGTGATCTTTCTCATTATTTTCAATCGAACTTGTGTGCACTTCATATATACTTTTTTAAATCATAAAAATAACTTATTACAACAAATTAATTACTATACAAAAGTCAGAGCCTGGATGTCTGCCTCTTCGATATTTTTTGTTCACAGGATGATTGTGACCATCAGCCCCAGAGGCAGACATATGCAAATGATTTAGTACCATACCTTTTTTAAAACATAAGTGCTGTCAATTGACAATGCTGCGTTTTCTTGATGGCAGACGTGGTCCTCACTGTTTCTTATGATATTATTATCGCTACCAATGACGTCTGCCACGTGTGCTGATCATGCAGAAAATTTGGCGACCAGGAACGATTAGGAATGACCTCCAAAAATTACCATCCCAATTCCGAATAACGTTCCTCCGAAAGGAGGTACCAGTAACAGCAGATAACTTTTGATTCACCGATTTTTCAAAAACACTGAATATTTCTTCAACTGATGATATTCTGAAATTTCGACGATATATACCCAAATTCAAATATCAATAAGGGGAGCAGATTTTGAGGTATGTATTTGTCGTTATATATAACCTTCAACCTCATCACCGTCAGGGTAACTGTCACTGAAATTCTAAATGGCAACCTCAAATCATTTTTCCATTTTTTAAATCCTTATGTGATTTCAGATACGTTACATCTATTCCATTTTCAGTTTCAGTCTTCAAGACTGCAGTACTTAACCTCACGAATTCTTGTAATTCAATTTATTAGGATGATGAAAAAAATTATATAAGTACAGACTTAACTCATTACTGTATGAATTGCTCGAAATGGTGTCCATTGTTTTGAAAGCACAATTACAGCCGATATTCCAGAGTCATTTCAAAAGGTCGACGAAGAGTTTGGATATCGGCTACACACTTTTGTTCACTAAACATTGGAGATCATCTTCAGAAATTCATAAAGTAATTAGTTATGTCTGTATGCAATCTTGTTCATCATCATAATGAATTAAAATCTAATGCTTCGTGAGGTTAAGTATACTGCTATTTCGAATACAAGCAAGTAAAAATAGATGTAACTTATCTAGAATCTTATAAGGATTCTAAAAATAGCAAAATAATTGTGAGTTCCCTTTTGAAATTTCAAGGGTAGTTGCCCTGACAGTGAAGTGGTTGAATATAATATAACAATGAATACCTCTCTTGATATGTAAACTAAAGTGCTTCTCCAAATGTCCATATTGTTATCTTCAGTTGAAGGAATATTGGGTGCTGCTTTTTTTCACATTGTCAACCTGAATATACGATCGCATCAGACCTAGGACAAAGCTATCAACCTGCCTAGGGTCTTATGCAACCATATTCGAGGCAGAAATGTACGCCATTGATTTATGTAGAGAGAAATTGAAGCATATCAACCTCACACATAAATCAAAATATTTTGCGCTTGTACAAATCAATTGTGTCTGGATTCCTGGAGACTTCGGCCTGGAAGGTAGGGAATGATTCCGCAAGTGGACACTCAAGAAGAGTTTCAGTCTTCTGGCGGAATCTATTCAATAGTATCAGCTAATTTCAAGGGATTCATACATCTTTCGAAGAATTTCACCAAACAAATGTTGCCTTTGACTGATCCGGCAGGATTTCTTTGTCTTGAAGATGATAGATCAGCAGAGAATATTTATACTTTCTTTCCGCTCCCCTCTCCCCGCCGCGTCTCGAATCAGGTTCTCGCTGTCTCTGTCCCGACCTAAAATAATCATTCACCAAGTAAACTAATCGGCTTCATTAAGAGGCTGCATCTAATTGGTGGAATATGAATTGGTATATGAGCCACAATAACAATAGACTTATTTAGATGGCAGGGAAGGCCGAATAGATCCATACTCACTACGAACCTGACCTATAACCAAACCTAACCTGGTTGTTGGATATCATCCTATTTGTCCGGACGATCACAACAAGTTATACTCAAGTCTGGAGGTGCCAAGTATATTTCTTTATCCCGTGATGTGGCCAGCGGTGTTCCTCAAGGGGGTGTGCTAGGCACTTCTCTCTTCATCATATCACC